GGGCGCGACTGGGCCATATCTGACAATGTCTCTAGTCATTGATGTGGCCCGTCTCGGGCTACGAGTGCACCGCATTCTCAATAGGTCACGAGCCCAGTATCGCCCTTATCTGTAAAATTAACGGTATGGATATGTTCTGTATCTTAACGAACTCAGATAAGCACATACAGAAATGAAATTTGACCCATTCGGTGAACGATGCGCTGTTGGTTGGACAGCATGAGATGCTTTCAAATCGGCTACAAAGTCACGTGATCCACAAGTATATCCCACCAGAAGCGTTTGTGCCCAAGGGATCATTTTCAAATGAAAATAATGGATTGTTTTGCAGACAATACCGAAAGAGAGAAACGGAGGAGCATGTGTAACAAACAAAAGTAAGTGTAGCCTATGGGCAGATATCCTGTTGAAGAACATCGGACATTTAGAAACAAGCAGAGCAGTAGGCCACTCACTGTACACGAGGTATTCCATTGAAAAAAAGTCAGAGGATGAGGACAAAAAACGAGTCACTTGGCAATCAGGAATAGGTAGCGCGCTGGATCGACGACAAGAGTTGCTATACAAAAGCTTGAGAGTAAGCTATCGTCTGCCACCCTGAGTCAGATGGCCAATTCGACGCATTTTGCGTTCTAATTTCTGTTGTTTTTTCTCGTTCACTTGTGGTTCTTGGTTGGGATCGAAAATCCACGGGGCCAAAATATTGACCCAGAGCAGATGTAGTAGTCGGAATGGGATCTGAAAAGAGTTGGAGATGGGAGACAGGAATGAACAGCAAACCGGAAATCCCACCATCGGATGGAGTTCACGCCGACAACATTTCTAGTTCAAAACGAGATGAACCATTGAGTATCCAATCGACCCAGTATCCCTGATTGTGGGGTTAGGGAACGCTAGACCTGTGTATCCTCGTCATCACTTTGGTCAAATCCATATGGACGAAACGACCACACAGTCTGGCTAAACAAAGATCTCTGCTATGTTACTCTAGTCACTTCCTACTGGTCAGTGGGGCACCCATGACACTGGCATTTCCTTTCTTCAGTGCTCTAACAAATACCATGGCTTACAGGTAGGAACTTTAGGGTACCAGCATGAAATTGACACGGGAATGATCACGGCAAAGCGAGAAAATACGGTGAGCATGGGTAGAGTTAATTGCTAGTGCTTGTCAAGCCATACTTGTCAAAAAAGTAAACTTTGACAGGACTGTGTGCAATGAAATCTCGGAAAATCAAAAGAAAGTGAATGGTGGCCTAGAAAACATGAAAGACAGGCTGGGGATATTTGTCACAGGCTGTAAATTCATCTAACTCGGGTCCACTGTTGTCACCAGTACTGTTCAACCAGTTTCTGAAATTGAGCATCATATAGCTCAGTGGTTAAGGCACGAACTTACTGAACGGAAGGTTCGTGGTTCGAACACAACCCCGGCATTTCAACCACTCCTGTCTAGACTTGGGTGACCTGGAAATATCCCAGCCCTTGTGCTTCCTTCAGGTAGCATGGCAACTAGGTAACAAAAGGGTGTTACAGCTGGATTACTTCTGGCATCCCTGATAGTCCCACTCTCATTACAGAGCCGTAGAAACACGCTTCAAGTTTCATACTGTCACGTTTCCCTGGACTGCCAAAATTAGCTATGTGGTCTGTCGGAGGAGTATCGGTGAGCAAGTCAACACACAGCCACAGCTCAAAGAGGCGATAATATTGACGTAACTCTTCATGGATCGATGGTCAACTCTGTGTGGAGCATGGTCTACTATAACTCCCAAGAAGACCAACTACGCCTTCAGTCCCTTGCACATAACAGCAGATAACCCGGTTGGTCCACATTTAAAGCGACACAATAAACCAGCTTTGCACTTCATAGAAGACGGATCCTCACCTTTCAACAAGCATCACACTCGGCTAGTCACTGTACAAAAGCTGCGCAATATGTTGAGACTGGATAGTCAGGTGGGTAATGAAGTAGTGTGCAAGAGTGTGCACCCTCAGAATAACCCGAATAATCGCTACTGAGTAGTGTGGATACAATTTTGTAAAAACCTACAACAATTTCCGAGTAAAAATAAAAGCACAAATGTGGTCGTGCCCTTATTGAATTACGATAAACGAACGAGGAGTGCCCCGATTAAAATCAAATGAAGGTATAGTGTCCCCCAAAAAAGATGTCCGCCCTAGAGGTCCCAATTAAGGCTACTTCACTCCGGTTCAGCGAAAAGTGGCTTGAAATTGAAGCCTTTTGAGAGACTACCCGATAATCCTGATGCAGATCACTTCAGGTATCCTTATCAAACAAATCCATGAGGCGAAATTGACGCCAAGGCACCAGATGGACACCTAACTACCTGTGGTCTGTTTACAACATGGTTGAAGTCTCTCAGCTTCAAGAGCCTCAGAAAAGACCCTTCCAAGGAGAGGTTACTGTCCTGAAGAGGGGAGACTAGCATTCACTGTAACCCATGAGTAACTAGCTAGACGAAGCTAACCTTGGGAGTTCACTGAGAGATATGGTTGTGATAATGTACACACCAACGGCAAGTTTGGTCTGACATGAGAAACACAGCAAACTCTGAAGGTCAAATACGCAGCATATTCCTTCCGTTTATAGAAGAATTCCTGGATTTCACGTACGCGTGCGGTTCTCAAACTTCTTAGCGCAACACCTATTTACAAAGCAAGGGAAACAGAAAAAGGATTTCCAGAGAAACACCCTAACAAACACATTGATTCGAGTCTTTACCCTCAAGAGAGACCTTCTCTCTGGATGGAAATCATATAACTATCTCAAGTTACGATTCCTCGGAAGGAGGAAAGAAGGGAGGAACTCTCACTCGAGAGTTCCATGAGTTCATCTTGGAACGGTATCCCGCTTATCACATAAACTGGTTGCCTGGAAAGGATATAAATTCATTCTTCGAATGTTCCACATCCTATTTTTGACGTATTTTTCACTTGGTTGTGTCCGTACAGGATGGAGGTGAACTTTATACGGGGAAGTCGTTATACCACACGTGTCATGTAGACGACTGTGTGTCAATGAACTGTTTTCTTTTCGTTCGTGCTGTAGCACCATTTCGATACCTAGCTGCCATGTCATCAGAAGGAAGCACGCGGCCTGGGATACCGCCCAAGCCTAGACAGGGGAAGTCGAGAGGCAGAAGTCGGGTTCGAACCACGGACCTTCCGGTCAGTAAATTCGCGCTCTAACCACTTGGTCCATCTCGCCCCCAATGCAATGTTCTGAGAAACTGAGGTACTTGCACGAGTGTTTGGGGGTATGGTTAATAGTGGTTGCCTCCGAGAGGGATCACCCCCAACCGCAACCTGTCCGGTCGTTCTCCGTGAGTGGTTGCATTTCGGGGGGGGGGGGGCTAGAACAATTCCGTTCACTCAGTAGATTAAGTCAGCAGCCTAACAATGCCATACGTTTTTCGAAATTTTGTACATGGAGCCCACGACTACTAGTATGATTGACAAGTGATTCCCGCAATCACATACAACAATTGATATGACCCCTACCAAAGAAACCATAGCGAAGAAGTCCTCATTGAGGATACTCAAAACGTTTCTATTACTAAAGGATAACTCGTAGAGACTGGTGAAATTCCATGAAATAAAAAAAACTGGCGTTCAGGTCACCTGGTAATCCATTGAGGGCACCAAGAGATTAGAGTGACCGGAATTCGGAAACCGAAGGACGCAAACCAATATGAAAATCGTACTGTACAAAATGTACTCTCACAAGATAACTTACCACGAGCATCAGGAACCAAAAGTATCGGTGTAGTAAGCTCAACAGGAGCACGGCACAACACATGATGATAACATCTTTGGCGTGTCTGCGATGGAGAAAAATTCCGGAGACGGAGAAGAGTGTAGGTTTTTGTCAGTGTAACACAATGGAGGTAGTCGGCAGAAAAGCTAACTTCTGTGTGAAAAAGGGTTGCATGAGTCGTTACGGTGGTAGAGAATTGAAATCTATTTAAGTCACCTTAACTGTATTGTATGTCCTTGAATTGCCTTATGCAAAAACGTAGCTGCGGTCGTGTTGAAGGACGGCTACTTTCCCGATCCAAAGTTGTCACCTTGTCGTGGTGCTCGGTCTTCTGTGCTGAAATGAGCCTGCGGGCTGTACTGACTGGAACTCAGTTCCTAAAGGTCCAACCAAACCAGAAAGGCCAACGCGGAGCAGCCCGACGAAGAACAGTGAGTCCCCGTACTGCGAGTGATTGTATTATGAGGCGGTCTGGAGGTAAGGTCGTACTGTCCTCTACGATAGAAGTGTGAAGACAGTAAGGCGTTTCCCCCAGGCAACCAGCATGTCCATATTTATGGAAGCAGCGGTGATGCCTTCCCCCGAGGAAGGACGGGTTAGAAAAGGTCGGCCCCAAAAATCGCACACTCCGATCGCCCAACAGTTGACCGTGACCGCCGGCGCATTATTCAATACGGTAGAAATACTTTCAAGATCAAATAGTCCGGTGCTGTTCAAAGGGTAGCTGCTGTGCGCAGCAGCATCAGGAGTGATACAGTAATGCCTTATTCCCTGCGCCCTCGGTCCAGGCCGGTCCCCTATAGCCAAGTAGGTCAGACTATTGAGTCATCGGCTCCGGAAAGGATCCCCCAAGAAAACCCCTAACAACCGCTGTCTCGCAGTAGAGACTCTTGAGGCAGAGGCCAATGTCAGGGTCTCCGAACAAAATCCTATATCCTCCTACTGACTTGTGGGAGGCAGACTTTTGAGTCGAAGGTTCAAGGTGGGGTACCTCGACTAAACCCCATTCTTCGGCCCGGACGACCGGGAAGCATCATTTGCCCTTGGAGCTCTTCGCTCACCGGCCTTCTCACGAGCATGTCTTCGCTTCCAAGGCTTGGTTTTGTATTCCACTTTCCCGTTTTCGGGTGATCGAAACTGTAGCAGCTGGAAACAATGCGCCTATGCCACAGGGTTTTATAGCTGATAAATTGGATTGATTGACTTGAAGGAGATTGATGCATCTCTTACGTCCCTAAAATGGCCAGACAGATAAGCAACAAATGCGAGCTACATCCTGAAAGATAAGGTCAGGATAGATTGAAAAACACTGTGGTATTTCATGTTAACTGGGGATTATTAACAGTGCACACTTTTGAAACCTCGATCGATGAGAAACTTGATTGGACAGCAATTAATGCTGCCACAGTGATAAGTATAACCGTACCAACATCAATATAGCCGGAAATCTTGCATGGGAGTTAAACTTGAGTTAAATCCAACAACACCCTGGTAAGTTTATGGGAAATGCTGTCCTATTCGGTCACCTACTCTGCTATTCCTCCAGTTCCGATATTCAAATCCAAGCCAGCATCTTGTAGTTGGACCACGCCACGGTCATTCTCCCCAAAAGTCGGTGAAGCCATGTGAGACATGAACTTGTAGGCGGCCAGACAGATGGCGAAGGAGACTGAGGCCAGGATGACATAGCGCGTGGTGAACGAGGACCAGAGGAATAAGAATGTGACGGAAGAGTAGATAGCCTATCAACGGATAAAAATATGAAAGGTCCTCAGTACAATTTGTGTCAGTGGTTTCCAACACATAATATACGACAATCTCCTTACAGAAAACACTATTAAGGAGAAAAGGACCTCTTAGTTCTGAGTGCTGTTTCGTTCTCAATAGTTAGATGATCGAGTTAGTCAAGAGCTGATTGGATCGGGCTTCACACTTGTAAACTGATTCAGTTCACCAACGCCCTTTGTCTGACGAATTCGTAACGTCGACGCTAAACAATAAAGTGTTGTAAATTCGGCAAAGCTAAGACTATGAGAATGAACTTTGGGGACAACTCCGTCTAAAATTAACATTTTGTCTGATATGGGCATACGACTGTACAACCATCTCGCACTAGGTATTGTGAGCAATACGTTGCAACTGTTCATGCCGAAAGGAATACAGTCATCCATACTCTACGGACATGCTCTAGCCAAGAATCTATTTGAAGACATTCTGCTTGTTGTGTCAGTAGAGCCCGGGTCAGGATTTTTCAAATCGGGACCACAAACGCTAGGGTGGAAAGTCGTCATCGACCCAGAAGATCAATGCCCAATACCCAATTACCGCCTACGAACCCATTCACAGGAGCAGCACACCTGATCTAGACTACATAACACACATTCTAAGGTGTTAACGTTCCTACCTGATTGCTTAGCTGAACCACCAGAGTAAAATCTGTCTGGCCAAGCCGCTAATAATGTAACTAGCCGAAGGGAAGAGTGACTTCACTACATCATCACAATAATCAGTGTTTACATAGATACGTTACCGTTGTAAAACCACAAAGTTTGTCTAGTTGTATTTAAAGCCCTACAGTGGAAAGAAAACAGCGGGTGACGGAGGTTTGTCGCAAGCATTCTGAGGTGTCTACACATCCAGGAGCTCAATCAGACAATCTAGAAGGAAACTGACAGCACGATCGTCACTAAGACCGACCGACCACCACTTCTTGCAATGTCTCCAGTCAAGTTCAGTTGGGGTGACGGGGACCTGAAAAACGAAGACGATAACAAATGAAATCAGTCATTCCTTTCACGCTGCCCTTCCACGTCATACGTGGTCCATCTCGAAGTTTCCTCCATTCTGAAGGAGGCATAGAGAACAACATTCGTCTCAGTAGACGCTGTTTCGGCATGCGTGGGACATGACCAAACCACTGTAGTTAATTGAGCTAGATGTTTTCCGAGATTTAGGTACACACAAACAACCAGATACCCATTTTCTAATTAACTCGTCACAAATTCGTTGAGGCCATTCGACATCAGCAGGGCTTCTGGAGCATTGGTGGTTAAAAATCTCAAAGAAATTCAAAATCGTTCAGCCCTAACATCATTTCGGTGCCTAACTGCCATGCTAACAGAAGGAAGCACGAAGGGTAAATAGTATCAGGTTGCCTAAACCTCAACAAGGGAATTCGAGAGTCAGAGGTCGGAATCGAACCACGGACCTTCCGGTCAGTAAATTTGCGCTCTAATCACTGAGCCATCTCACCCTTCAAGACACTTCACATCATCTTTCCGCAGGTATGTTTTGCAACCAAGCAACAACAGCTCTTACTGTAGTCTGGTACGAGTGACTCTTGGGGCCCAGTGACGGTACAAGGAAATCGGCAAACGTGCATCGGGCCTTTGAGCTTTGTGTCCTGATTTCATTAGACACACTTTTGTCAAACAACCCATGAAGTGGAGCAGCACACCTGATCTAGACTACATAACACACATTCTAAGGTGTTAACGTTCCTACCTGATTGCTTAGCTGAACCACCAGAGTAAAATCTGTCTGGCCAAGCCGCTAATAATGTAACTAGCCGAAGGGAAGAGTGACTTCACTACATCATCACAATAATCAGTGTTTACATAGATACGTTACCGTTGTAAAACCACAAAGTTTGTCTAGTTGTATTTAAAGCCCTACAGTGGAAAGAAAACAGCGGGTGACGGAGGTTTGTCGCAAGCATTCTGAGGTGCCTACACATCCAGGAGCTCAATCAGACAATCTAGAAGGAAACTGACAGCACGATCGTCACTAAGACCGACCGACCACCACTTCTTGCAATGTCTCCAGTCAAGTTCAGTTGGGGTGACGGGGACCTGAAAAACGAAGACGATAACAAATGAAATCAGTCATTCCTTTCACGCTGCCCTTCCACGTCATACGTGGTCCATCTCGAAGTTTCCTCCATTCTGAAGGAGGCATAGAGAACAACATTCGTCTCAGTAGACGCTGTTTCGGCATGCGTGGGACATGACCAAACCACTGTAGTTAATTGAGCTAGATGTTTTCCGAGATTTAGGTACACACAAACAACCAGATACCCATTTTCTAATTAACTCGTCACAAATTCGTTGAGGCCATTCGACATCAGCAGGGCTTCTGGAGCATTGGTGGTTAAAAATCTCAAAGAAATTCAAAATCGTTCAGCCCTAACATCATTTCGGTGCCTAACTGCCATGCTAACAGAAGGAAGCACGAAGGGTAAATAGTATCAGGTTGCCTAAACCTCAACAAGGGAATTCGAGAGTCAGAGGTCGGAATCGAACCACGGACCTTCCGGTCAGTAAATTTGCGCTCTAATCACTGAGCCATCTCACCCTTCAAGACACTTCACATCATCTTTCCGCAGGTATGTTTTGCAACCAAGCAACAACAGCTCTTACTGTAGTCTGGTACGAGTGACTCTTGGGGCCCAGTGACGGTACAAGGAAATCGGCAAACGTGCATCGGGCCTTTGAGCTTTGTGTCCTGATTTCATTAGACACACTTTTGTCAAACAACCCATGAAGTTGAAAGAAGGGATACGTCAGTAGTAGCGTGTTTTCGTCTAGGTGCCCTGCATAGCTCCCTTCCCAATCCCCCCGCTTAACAGTCCACCGACAGTGCTGTATTTACGCACCAATTTATCAGCTGCCGCCTCCAATGCGCAGCTACCTACCCACCCCCAAAATAATCGGTGAACGAAACTATGGCAGCTACAACCACTGTACGACAAGTACGCGGTTCATACAGCTGACAATGATGACCCGCTCTGTTGTATACAGCAAGCAAGGCAACTCTGCTGATGACAACACACGATGGCCGATGTGACATGACACGTTTATACATGGGTTGGGATACTGTCAGGGCACTCGGACATAGCAGAACCATTAGGGTCTCCAGTCTAGACCTTTGGCTCTAAAACCTGGCAGCAAAACAGCAGTGCTTGGCTAGAAGTGTCAGTCACCGCACACCTTCTAATCCCCAACATGGAGGGCAAGGAGACTGTGTTGTTCAGACCTCTAACCATGGACCAATCTGGTATAAGACTTTGCGAGTATCACAAGGACACCATCCAGTATAGTTCAATGGGTCAAGGAGGCACACAGGCCATCACACCATGGTAAGATCGTCTTTTTGTTACGTAAACAGACATCTACGTGTGACAAATACGGAGCCAATGAAAATGGTTACGCCCCAACATGAGGGCAAGGAGACTGTGTTGTTCAGACCTCTAACCATGGACCAATCTGGTATAAGACTTTGCGAGTATCACAAGGACACCATCCAGTATAGTTCAATGGGTCAAGGAGGCACACAGGCCATCACACCATGGTAAGATCGTCTTTTTGTTACGTAAACAGACATCTACGTGTGACAAATACGGAGCCAATGAAAATGGTTACGGTAGCGAAAATGGGAGATATTCAGTATCTGGTCCCCAAGGTTTGTAGGGCTCGGTCACAAGACCCATACCGGCCGTCGCTTAGTTCTACCAGCCGGGTCGCCTCACTTGCCACATACGCTACACTTTCTTCCTTTGCATGCTGTCCTCTGCTCTTTCCACCACTCCATCAAAAACTCTCCTTGTAAGCCACTCATTTAAAAATTCACTACCCCGTTCCTCTGCCATCTGTTTTGGCGGAGACTTGCTGATAGGCCGGGACAAACAGCCTCAGGGATCTCGAAATCAGTCTTGAAGCCCACGACGACCGACTTACTGGCCGTTCGAAGTTCGAAGCAAGTACGACAACAGGCTGCTCACGCTCACGCACTGGACTCGCTCCGCAGTTATGGTGCTGCGTAGCGGAGACTAGATCACTATCGGCAGCATGACATCAGTGTTCCACGCTGATGCTTCGCTGAAGCCCTATTGTGAAGAAACGAATAAAGGCAGACAGGGAAGCGAGTTAGTGCTAGCTTAATACAATCATTCCAAGGTATCCACACCCCCAAACACTCGTTCAGACAATCTGGATAGAAACTGACAACAAGAACGCCACTAACATTGATTGGCAGTCATATCTTGCAGCGTCCCAACAAGGTGCGGTGGGGATGCAGCAGTCGCATCCTGGAAGGTGAGTAGCACCGACAGCACCCAGATGTTTCGTAATCTCTTCCACACCCCTATGCTAGGTAAAGGGTCGGCCACCTCCCTGCTTCCATCACTCGGAATGAGGCACCGGAAACAGCATCCTCTTCGGTAAACGATGGTTCGGCATATGAAGTACATGGCCTTACCAACACAACTTCCGATGCTGAACCTATTCTTCAACGGAAGTCTCCGTTGCACAACTGTGACCTCATCTACTGCCTCCTTGCGGATTCACCTACACCGATTCACACGAGTTATGGTTTTGAGACAACGATTGTGAAACACCTGAAAATGTCTCAGTTCCGCTGCTCGAACAGGCCAAGTCTCACAGCCATACAACAAAACAGACCACACTGTAGCTTGATACACACGTCCTTTGAGAGTTAGGAATATACTGATTTGACGCCATAGGTGTCTCAAGTCAGCGACCGCAACCCGAACCTTGCAGATTCGTGCATTGACCTCATCTACGATCAGAAGTAATACAACTTCCAAGTTACATGAAACGCTCCACAACTTCGAGTGTCTCTCTCTGGATTGTAAGTGGCGCGTTTGGTGACTGCATGTCCGGGATCATGACCCTAAACTTTGTGGTTGCGAAGTGCATGCCAAATGGCGGGATGACTGGTTAATTCATCCGAAAATAACTAAGCCTCCTCATCCTGTTCGAAGACGAGAAGGACATCGTCTGCACATTCCATATGGACAAGGTTTTCGTCACACGCTATTTAAATACCAGGGTTCGACGTTCGTCTCATTATCCCATCCATCACGAAATTAAATTGGAACCAAGAAAGTGGGTGTTCCTGACGGACACCACTTTGTGTACGCGATATTTTTAGGAAGCCTCCGTACAATCTCACACGCCCGAAATTATCACCGCAAACTTTCGGTACATTCCTTTCTAGGCAAGCGTGTTAACAAAAGACCGGGTACCAGAAAACCCGTACATCAGAAGCTAGTATGCACTATGAGGAAATATGAGGGGCGAGATGGCCCAAGTGGTTAGAGCACGAATTTACTGACCGGAAGGTCCGTGGTTCGAACCCGACCTCTGACTCTCGACTTCTCCCGTCCAGGCTTGGGCGACCTGAGTATCCCAGCCATCGTGCTTCCTTCGGATGGCATGGCAGCTAGGCACCGAAAGGGTGCTGCAAGCTGAACGGACAGCTGAACTATGAGGAACAGCCACAACATACAGCAATATTAAGCTTAACGCACTGGATACTCCACTCTGGTGATAACGACAGAGCAGCATATAAACCTTGGGCGTCCGGAGTGACGCTGTGACAAACAGGACGTATGTTTGCATCTATAGCGATGCATTATTCTATTTTCTATCATTTTCGAGTCAATCGTTAATCAAAGTTTGCAGTTGGCATGGTGCAGCAGCAACCACCACAATAACTTACTAGGGTGGACAGTACCGAGATCCTATAAAATCTTAAGGTTGATATATTTGCCTCGTGGATCATTTTCTCGCTCTTTGAGCCTTCTTTGACATTTTTCTTTGGCGTGAACATTGCCACAAAAACGTAGCACGCCGGTTCGAATGACGATCACGGGCCAACGACCTTGAAGTGGTCCATACTCACTATCCAGTTTTCAGTAGGTTCGGTGTGTTCAACATGGATTCACGGATTGATACACAGGATCGAGGCTTTTGCACATGTTTCTCTGGTCAGTTTTGTTCTTGTCTGTCAGTGGCTGTCGTTCACCTGAAAGGCACAAGTGAAAAAAGGGTGTAGGACTGCTCTTTGTGTTCTCAGCGCGGGGCATTATGCTTGCCAGCGGAGGATTCGCATAAATAAAAGTCTAATAGTGCTTCAAACTGGGTTCTGGAAGGAGCGTGGACAACCGTTGGAGGGAGGCCATTTCATGCACCTACTACCCGAAATGAGAAAAAATGTTGTCCAATCAATATGTGTGCTCTGAGCTTGAAAATTTTCTTACTATGTCCCAGCCAAGTGTTTACTGGGTCAACGGCAAAAAACTGCTTGCCAAGCTTTATTCAAACAGGGCATAAGTAAGAATTATTTACCCTCTGAGGCGACGGTACTCCAGGGGAAAGAGATGAAGCATCCCGAGACGCGTTTCGTAGTCCACGGATTTGAGGCCTGTAACCATTCTCGTGGCGGCCCGCTGGACACGCTCAATGAGGGTGACGTCTTTCGTGCGTCCTGAGTAGACAACTTGATTGGCGTATTCCAGGATCGGTCTGACGTAGGCCCCATAGAGCGTTTGGAAGTTCATGCGAGTAATACGGGAGAATGTGCGTTGGGTCATCCGTAAAATGGCGAATGCCTTTTGGGTCGAGTTCTCATGGTGCAGTGAGAAGGACAAGTTTAAGGAGACCCCAAATCCTTTTTGGCATCTATCCTCACGATGTTTTCCGGTCCTTTCTCACCATGCATAGCAAAGGCATCCGCTGAGTCTCCTCCAAACGACATATGGACGCGCTTTCCGTCATTCTGAGGAAGGTGCCAATCCAGCCAGGTGCATGGACGGGCAAGTGGATGAACGTGGAGGAACAGGTGCGATGAACTCCGGTGGTGGTGGAGTGTAGGTTGAGACTAACGTTACTGCGCAAGACGGAAGGTAGGAATTGTTCAACACGTTAATTAGCGAACAAGTTTATGCCTGAACTGACGCGGACGTAAGGAGGTAAAGGCATTCTAAGGAAAACTGGGATGATGTTATGTGAATTGGCTACGGTCTTACGTAAGATGAGTTCAGGAGTGAAAAAACGGGAACCTGTGAGTGTGCAGGACACAAGGGGTGCACCCAAATCTCCTCGGAAACCGCGGGGCTCCAAAAGCCAACCTTGACGTATAAATGTGACTATACTTGATATTTTTGGCCTAATTAGGTGCGCCTAATTTGTTTCAAATTGTTGTGTTTAGAAGAAAACTCTCCATATTAAAACGACTCATTTCTTAGCATATGTACTCAGGTCGAGAAGCCCATTAGCTACCCCAATTTTACTGAATTCTGCTTCAATATATTCATTTTCCTCATTTTTTAAATGCGATTAAACTGTGAAAGTGCTTGCGTGTCATCATGGCTGATGAAGTTGCGGGCTGGGTCTCAAAGGTTTGTTAAGAAAATGTTTGCCTCAATTTTCTCATTCTTTATAGCCTTCAATTACCTGGAAAATAATTATGTGGCCATGGTGATCCGCTGCTAAACAGCAGGCAACAATTTTTGCGCGGCCAGTGGCTGTAACACAATTGGAGTAGATGAGATGGACGAAGCTGCAGATTGAGTGAATTTGTTGTTGGCGAACAGTGAACGAACTACCAACTCCCGAATCTATTTTGCTTAAGGGGACAGTAAGGTCGTCCTTCAGCTACTACTTACCCTCTTGTTTCAACCACGATATCTGTGTACATTGGTATGGAAGTGTGCGTTTAAACTGCTTGTCAAACGAAGGGCAGTTGGGCACGTTTTGCGCTTCGCTGAGAAACGGGACGCCACTGTGCAGCGGTTTGTAGCAGCCGATTTCCGAGGGATCTCGAGCACTCAGGATGTACCGCGAGGTAGTTACTGCCCTGCCCTGCTGACAAAGAACCTATCTTTCAAACCTCTTGTGGCAGGTGATACGTCCTCATCCTTGGCTAAGCTTCACGGGTGCTTTTCTTTTTAAACGAGTATCTTTCCCCACATAGCATCATATTCCGCAAATATCGGCGAAGAAACACTTGAGTATGTTGAGAAAATAAGTTTCGACGAAAAGATAACGTTGGAAACGCATAGTCATAAAAGAAGGCTGCTTACAGAGCGCTTACTTAATGAACCGAAAAACTGTGGTAATACTGTATTGCTAGCACACAAACTTATTGGTGGTTTTCAGATAACTCAACAACCACTCCTCCTCTATTTTCCAGATAGCCAATGGTGCTGTGAACACGTAACACCCTGGAATTTGTTACAGTCCATCTCAAATAAGTTATCAATAGGTTATAATGAGTGTGGTTCTTCAACTGTTTCGCTTGCATCTCGCAAGTTCCCGGATATAATGTTTACCGAGCCAAATGCTGGCAGTGCGTGCAAGCCAGGTTTGGTTAACCGTGCAGCATAGGCGACGCGGTCGTGGTTGGCTCTAAACAGGTACCCCTTAGCAAACTCAACTAACTTACAGGTTTTCCATAGGTAACTGTCGTCTTCCACGCTAAGTGACATCGATTCCCCGGCATCACCTGCGGTATTTCCCCTGATAAACGCTACTTCAACCGATGAAATTGCGGCAAGTAGCCGTGTTTATCGCTAATCAGGTGATATCAAGGGTTTGGCCAACAAACTTAAGTCACAGAAAATTTACGGCAATTTTTGGATGTGGTGCTTGTTACCAGGACCCATACGAGAATTCACGTTCTTGCATCTCAATAAAAAATTAGCGGAGCCTTGTCTGCCTCCTTATCCGGCATATACACTTCGTCATTAGCATTGCGCGTCGAACAATCCGGTTGGTGTAGAGGTGTTGCATTGCGCTGTTTAAATGTACAAATCAGACAACCACGATTTGCTTCATATTTTTTAAAACTAATTTCAGCTTATCTCATTTCGTTATTTTCAGAGCGTATTCAACTATATGGCTGCAGTGCTACTACTAGGAGGGCATTAGCCGCACAATGCTTCTAGCTGCAAAGCCCTTACGAGTGGAGTAAAACTTCCTGCACCGATACGTTACATTTCGTTGCGTATGTTCCCGAATCGAAAGCCATCCCAATTTACATTCATATTTATGCAGCTCACCAAATTTGATTGTCCACTTAAGCGATCGTACCTCTGGCAGAAAATTCTGATGGAATAAGTTCCCAGCGTCACTGAGCCTCGGAGCTACTCAAATGGGGTTCAAGCGTTTGGACTCGTACTCTGAACGCAGTTGCCCGGTGGTCCATCAGGGACAGGTGGCTACTTTCGACAATTCAGTTCCATTGTGCGAATATTGAGCGTGCGGTTAGGGCCGCAAATTAGATGCACAATGCTTCTATCTGCGAATTCAATGCTGGTGGAATAAAACGTTTTGCGCCAAAATATCGCATTTTGCTGCATGTGTGCTTAGGCAAAAGTCATGCAGATGTACGTCTATTTTTCCAGTTTGTTTCAGTCATTCCGCCTCCCAAATTTTTTGTGCGCATTAGACTATAGACCTACCGGGCTATGGCCCACTGGTTGTGCATCGCCTGAAAATGGACTGTACACACACAACCTGGGATGGTTCACCATAATATCGTGACCAACAACAGTCTGATAATGAAAACGTCCGCCTTAAAAATTGAGTTCAACCCTCGGACACACTGGTGCACGCTATACAAAAGGTGTCGCGCCACGCCGAGTTGCTGTTGCGGGAATTCGAAACATACACATCAAATCATTGTGACAGACGGCGAATTCTGGGGCGGCAGGACTGCTTTCCTAACGTGGCCTATCGAATGACCACGTATATATGTTCCCTGGCTTTGAGGCACTTTGGGGCCGCGACTTCCATGGCTGCACCATCACAGTGTTGGAACAGGCAAGGTGAGGTCAACCTACGCCAATTATTAGTCCGTAGTGCAGACACCCGGACGCCTCCAGACGTTTGGAGGATACCCATGTCCCTTGTACCGATTGATTTGGCTCACATGCATCTGTTTTCTCTGAGTTTAGACAACTGTCTCTTTCAAGCAGTACAAACCATTTTTCGTAGATTCTTCCCTAGGTTGCTTCCCGATCCACCAACAGTGGATGGCGGATTTCAGCCTACCAGAACAAGGTCTACCTCAAAAATTTGTTCCCAAATTACTACCGACAGTTTCCAACGGCCTGCGCAGACAACTAAAGTTAGAGGCGGATAAGATTCAGGGTCGGGAACCAGGGCGGGCCACAACCATCATTACGCATTTGATTGTTTGGGGGCAAATCCTTCTGCGCCAAGCTTCGACGTCTGCAACCGCCGTCCTGCCATTGGTGGTCGAGGATACTGCACTTCAACCCGGATCTCAGTCTAGAATGGTCTTTTGTGTGTTTTGTGACCCGTCGACTAGCACCAGGACCACTGGTGTGGAACGGATTGCGTATCATATGACGTCAGCTGCTATGATGGTGAGCCTTACTCGCTGTGCGCTGATGTGCTTCAGGCTTATCCCAAAGGTGCGTTCACAGATGAATAGCTCATTTCCAGTTTTTAGCCGACGACACATCCTGGAACCGCAAAGGTCTGCCTGCTAACCGGCGCACACATACGTTCTGCACTATGAAATGGCAACGCTGAAAACATCAAGCTTACAAGAAATCAGTTCCATTGTTCGCATACTAAGTGGCATCAACTTTTGGGGCAGCTATCAGGTTTTTATCTTTCATGGAATGTGGGAAGGCGTTCAGTGAACACACGAGGGATAATTATAAGATATTAGTGCGTGCTGTGACGAAAAATTGCCAACTTTGTTTTACCTTACGACTGGGCATACTACAAATGCTACAGGCGTCTCCTGAAACGAAGCTACAGCCAGATGATCAGAGGAAGCTTTGAAGCCAGATGTGAATGCTCAGTACTGACAGTGCGTTACGTATCAGTTGTGTA